TGCATTTTGATCCTACCCCCCCTGGACAAGGGGAACAGAGACTATTTTGCATTTGAATGGGAAGATCCATCTAATAATAGAAAACAACAGATGGACAGTGCTTCCCCAAGGGTTTACAGAACCACCTAACCTTTTTGGGCAGGCATTAAAAAAAAAAAAAGTTACTGCAGACATTCAAGCCATCCTCAGAAATAAAGCTTTTACAATACATAGATGATTTATTAATAGCTGGACAAACTGAGAATGATGTCAGGATGGGGTCTATAGAACTGCTGAACTTTGTAAAAAAAAAATAAAATAAAATTCTAAATTACAAATTGTACAAAATGAAGTCCTTGGGGCACTAGGGCTTTGAGAGATCATTTCTTGGGATATTTTGGCTGCATTGGAATATATGAAATTGCAAAACTACATAAGGTTGTTTAACATGTTAAAAGATTAATAAAAGAATTATGAGACAGACCGCAGCTGGTGGAAGGAAAACAGCTTATCAACCTTTTGAGAGGGTCCAGAGAGATTTCACAGAACCACGGAAAGTTGGGAGATATAAATATTTGCTGGTAATGATAGATCAATTAACTCACTGTGTAGAAGCCTTTCCTGCCACCAGAGCGACTGCTCAATCAGTAACTAAAATAGTACTGGAACAAATTATACCATGATTTGGAATTATTAGAGCATTTAATTCAGATCATATTAGCCCACACAACTCCTTTAGGATTTGCAGTACACAAAATACAACCTGGAGGTGAAGTAATGATTAAAACCTGGAAGGAGGAAAGTTTATCTCATAGATAAGAAGGACCATTCCTAGTACTCTTAACCACAAAAACTGCAATAAGAACTGCTGAGAGAGGGTCGACTCAAGTTTCCAGGGTAGAAGGACCTGTTACAGAAAAGCCTTAGTGGAAGATTGAATCAACACAGGGAGACCTAAAGCCTCAAATGCAGTGGAATCAACAGAGGGATGGACTCATTAAGACTAACTGAATAATTAGAAGGACTCTATATTGGTAACAAGAAAATTTAAGGTATTTGTTATGAAGTTTTGTAAAATCCTGAATGTTTGTTAAAATGTTGTGGTGTCTGCTTTATAAATAAGTGTATAAGCCATTGTATATAGTTAAATAAGAAGTTGAATAAGAGTAACAAAAAGGAGAAGAAGACTAAAAATAAATTCGAAGTGAGGGCAAGACCAGGTTGGCCTCCATTTTTGCTGTTAAGAAGATAAACACCCGACCGTTGGCAGGAACCCAATGGGTCTAGGGACAAACAGAAAAATGTGCCATACCGGCCCTCACTATAGTGGTTTCCTTTTTCTCCTAATTCTATGTATCAGCCCTGTAATGAATACAAAAAGTCGAAGTACTCCATATGGTCCCCTTGAAGATAATAAATTTGTTTTATTAGCCAAGACAATAAGCAGAACATTCAATCTAAGCCACTGTTCGGTCTGTGGAGGACCTGTAGGACTGTTCAGCTGGCCGTGGGTCTCTGTATCCCTTACTCCATCGAAGATTGTGAGTAATTACAGTGATATTAACAATACTACCTGAGAAGAAAATGGAATATGGCCAATCCAGTTTCCAAATCAGGGCAGATTTTGTGCGAACCGAACTCAGAAAGGAGGTATTGATGTGGGGGAGAGTAAATGCCAGTGGACACTTACACATAAATTGATCAACAAAGAGGTATTTATATATGGTTATAGCAAAGGATTCAAGGGATTTAGGTCAGATAAAGGAAAAAAAAAAAAAAACACAAACAAAAAAACCTGAATATGCTAAATTATACAGAAACAACTTTTATAATCGAACCTGTGTATGGAGAAATTATATGGGATCCTGCTATTGCAATATATGGATAAATGATAATTTCGAATGAAGTTTTCAGTCCTTTAGGAGATAAAAACAACCCTAATTGGATCCCTGATTATTTTGTTATTAATTCTCACTTTTGGACTTTGTATCTTTAACAAATTAACCTTGTTAAGAACAGGATTGAAGCTGTCCAACTCATGATGTTAAGGCAACAATATACTGATTTAACCCAACAAGAAGAACACCGACTAGAGACTGAATTAGAAGATACCACCTTTAGGGGCTGCTAGAGAAGCCATTTTTAAGCTTAACTAGCAAATTAGGGTATATAAAAAAAAAAAAAAAGGGGGGGGAGGACTATAATAAACTATGGTAACTAATTTGCTAAGTTAAGCAAGGCAGGTGCTGTAATTAAACTATGGTAACTAATTTGCTAGGCTGGGCAAAGTGGGTAGGTACACTTGAATGATCTGTAAAAGTTAAACAATTAAATGTAAAGTGGGCCATTCAGACTGGAACACTGTAACCATGTCTCAGAAACCCCACCTAGAGCTGACATGTAACTGCTGTTTGAAGAAAAACCAGCCAAAAGGATGAGATCATGAGGCTTTCGAAAGATCCAATAGGAGAAAAGCGCACCAGGAGACCAAGGCATCAAGACCTTCAGAAGACCCCATAGGAAGAGGACACGCACCCCAGCAACCCAAATGACCCAATGGAAAAGCTCAGGACAACTGTCTGACGGGAGGAGATTGGTTAAAGACAATGACACGAGAGTATAAAAAACGCTGCTTTTTGGAACTCGGGGTGCGTGTGGCAGAGCTGCGGCTATCCATGCACCCGGCACTGCTTTGCCAATTGCTTGCAACCCTAAATAGATTGAACCTAAATAAATATATATATTTTTATAAATATTGGCTTTCTCTGATTATAACACCCCCAAGCTGGGAAAAAGTGTTCCACAACCAGAAGGCAAGAGGCCGCCTGGGCCAGCTCTCGCCCTTGGGCTTGATGCCGGTTTCTGATCAGCACCTCTTGGCTCTGGGGACTGGCACCCTCTGAGGCACGGCTCCGAGGTATTTCATCAGATTGAACCCACCCAAATCACCACAGAGAGCAGAAAATATTAAATATGTCACTTCTTTCACACTTGAAGTAAAAATAAAGGGCTAAAATTCACTTTCCCTTGGGTAACCTGACAGATAAACCCCACAGACAGAAAAACACACCAAGTTCAAGTAAAAGGACAAGCACAGTTGCACATCAGAATGTCTGAACAGCCCAAACTGTGACAACACTTTTTTTTGAAGAAATAATTCAGAACTGTGAAAAGGTTTAGGTTTTTCGATGAAAGCTTTCCCCTTCCCCAGCGATGTCACCACCCCCTCCAGGGAAATCGGCCCCAGCCCCTGGTCTCACCCACTGCTGGGCCAGAGCCACCACCACTAGTGCTGGGGCTGCTGGGGCTGGGGCTGCTGCTGCCTTGGCAGGAGAAAAATTCAGGCAGCCATCCAGAACAAAGTGAGTGTTTTAAAAGGAGGAATTCCCACTTGCTGGGTGAACCAAATCTCTGCAGGGAACATCCCTCAGGGGAGACCCCCCAGAGCTGGAGGCCTCCTGCCCAGGCCGCCTCCCTCAGAGCACAGAGCCCTGGCAGTGTCGCAGGAAGTAGGCCTTGTGGGGGTCAGGGGGATCCCGGGGGGGCTTCAGCACATTGTCCCCCCCCAGCACCTGCCCACACTCCTGCCTGTGCCATGAGGGCGGATTGGGGACCGGGATGGGGTATTGGGGGGTGTTATTGAGGTTCTGTGGGAGTTGTGGGAGTTATTGGGGTCCT